TCAAATCACACGATGTCGACAGCCTATCAGTGTCATGAGATAGCACCCAAATGTACTTTCTAGCAATCCAAAGCCACCTGTTGTCAGCCTGCCAGAAGAGCAACAAGCTTTAAAAAGATACACTATGGTGCCAGGAAGTCTGACAGTCCGTGAATCACAGGGGAAATAAATAGTGGGAAAAAAAAAGAAAAAGCTGGAAGGAATCCCCAGAGGTCATCAAGTCCAACCTCCTGCTCAAAGTAGGACCAGGTTCCAAGTCAGATCAGGTTGCTCAGAGCTTTGTCCAGCTGATTTTTGAAAACCTGAATGTTTCGAAATCCCTCTGGGCAAACATTCCATGCTTCTCATTATGAAAAAGTTTTTTTCTCCCATCCAGCTGGAATTTCTCTTGCTACAGCTTGTGATACTGCTTCTAATCCTTTCACATTATAACCCCCAAGACATCTCCCAGAGCCGAGCATCCACTCATTTCAGTGCTGCACTGAATCTACTCACCCACTACAGAAGCATCTTTATCACCGATGAACTTCTCAAAATCAGCCACAGAACTGAGAGCCACTGAAGCAGGTCCTGCCTGCTTCTTGAGATGACTGACAATCCCATCTTAAAAGAGAAGTTAAATGATTAAAAGGATGAATAGAAAGTTCTACAAGACATTTTTCAAGCTTTCCAAAGCAAAATTGTTTCTGCAGAATCCATACCTCTCCCATACAATAAATAAAATATGAATTGAAGGCATGCCATCATCAACTGTACATAGCAACTTTCTAGCATTTTCCAGATACTGGCCCCCCATCAAGGGAGTAGGAGTTAAAGATAACATGGAAACCTTCACCTTTAAAAGAGAGCTCTAAGGGACAGCAAACACACAGGGCTCTGCTAGCACAAAGAGTTCTGGAAAGGGCACGAGGTGTGCGCGCGTAGGTGGGAATCTTCTTTGTATCCCACAACACACGTAACATCCCTGATACAAGTCTATTTTACGTGGGTCTGCCTTCCAGCACCCTTTTGGCTTGCCAACGAGCTCTTACCTGCTGTCCTAGGCCCATCATAGGTTCCTGCCTCTTCTCCATCTCGAAAAATCTTTAAGGTGGGATATCCACTGACTCCATACTTATTACAGGTGTTTGAGTTTGCTGTACAGTCAACCTAAAGGAAGAGAAACATTGCTACTCGGTGATGTAACCACCTGTGATCGTGAATGAAAGCATCTTTGCCGTTGCCCACATTATCACGTATAAAGATGGAAGTCTAGAGGGTCTGAAAGCCCTTGTTTGTCTTTAATCAAGGCTGGACTCCTTCCACATAAAGTGTAAGGATCCACAAAGCATCTACAAGACCAAAAGCTGGAGAGTCAAGATTGGGGAAGCAGGTAGCACGGGTGTAATGACAGGCCCTGAAAAATAAACCAAGTAGCTGTGACTTTGGCCAGACTAGACACAAAAAAATACTACAAAGAGTAGATTCTTGTAATCAATGACAGGTTTAACAGGAATCAAATGTTCTCGGACCTCATCAGTCCTAAAGTTCCTGCAACACCTGAAGAAAACAGGCTGACCTCAATTGACCAAGAGGCCATGGTGTCGAGTCCATGCGACTTCCCAGAAAGGAAGTGGAAGACCCCAATTTGAGAAAACCACACAGGTTTTCTGGTGGAAAAGAAAGCTCTTGGACAACAACCCTTACTTTGTAAGCCAAGGGACACCACCACGAAGCGCAGCACAGCACTCAGACTGTATCACACAACTCAAAGGCAGCCTTCTCCGGGCTCGGGTGCGCCCGTCTGCGCGCTGGCCTACTCCCATTTCGTGCTGGGCACGCTGGCTGAGCGGCAGCAGCCCGCACAGGGCTCGGCTTCCCGATCGCTCCCGCGGGCCCGAATCTTCAGAGATTTGACGAAGCCCGCCAGCGCTCTAAGGAGCCTCGAAAAGGCCCCGCACGCACACCGGGGCGCTGCTACCGGGCTGCGGCAGCAAAGCTTTTATTTGACCGAAATCTACCGCTCGGCCGCCGCGGGAAGAGCTGCCGCGGCCGGCCCTCACCTTCACGAGGGGCACGATCCCCTTCAGCCTGGTCGCTGCCGACTCGTACTCCGGCGCCAGCCGCTTGCAGTGCCCGCACCTGGGAGGACGAGGCGGGGTTAGGCCCAACCGGAGCGCCCCTGCCCCTTCCCGCCCCGCACGGCCCCGGCCCCGCCACTCCCGCCCGCCCCTCACCAGGGCGCGAAGAACTCCACCAGCACCAGCCCCGGACGCTCAGCCAGGCCGGTCTCGAAGTCAGCATCGCTGAGCTCCACCACGTCGGAGGCGCGGGCGGCGAGAGCGAGCAGCGGGAGCAGCAGCGCGGCGGGCGGCGGCGCGGCCATGGCGGCGCGGGGCTCCCTCCTCGGCGGCGGCGGCGGCTGAAGAGGCGCCGGGGGCCCCAGGGCGGAAGTCCCGCCTCCCCAGACGGATCTGCCGTGTGGCAGCTCTGCATTGGGCGCCGCGACGCACGTCACGCCGACCTCGGCCAATGGGCTGCTGACACGGGGAGGCGGAGCCAGCGGCGGCGACCCCGCCTCTCCGCTCCCGGGCCGCCGGGTCTCGGTGCCGGGCGGGGGGGGGGGGGGCGGTGGGGGGGGGGGGGGCGGCGTGGGGGAGGTGATCGGTGCCGGCGGGGGGCGGGAGGGGCGGTGCCGGTGCCGGTGCCTGTGCCTGTGCCTGTGTCTGTGTCTGTGTCGGTGCCGGTGCTTGTGTCGGTGCCGGCGGGAGGGGGGGAGCGGTGCCAGTGCCCGGTGCCGGCGGGATCGGGCTCCGCCGGGCGCTGCGCTGAGCACCGGGGGACCCGCCTGCACCGGGCCGGGCCGCGCTCAGGGCTCGGCGCCCCCCGCGCCCCGCCGCAGCCCCGGGCTCCCTCCCGGCGCCCCCCGACGCCGCGGCCAGCCCCGAGGGAGCCCCGCCGAGCGGGGGGCTGCCCGGGCTGCGGGCGCAGAGCCCCGGGGGCTGGAGCCGTTGCCAGTCCCGCAGGTTTCATTCGTTTAATCGCGATGTGCCCATCAAAATCCCAGCCGCGGCCCGCGGAGCGCCCCGGTAGTCCGTAAGGGGAGCGGCCCCGTGGGTTGCGGGCGCTGCCGCCGCCCAAAGCACCACGTGGGCCTGTGTCCGCCGAGCACCGGCCGGTCCGTGGTCCGTGGTCCGTGGTCCGTGGTCCGTGCCGCAGCTCCGCCCGCACGCCCACGCACCGACCCGCAGGACCCGCTCCCGCGTGGTGGAGGAGGCCGGGGTTCCCCGGCACTTGGGTGCCGCTACCCAAACCCGGGGTCGGGCCTTTCCCACGCCATCTCCTCGATCTGCATTTGCCACGTTTGCTGCTCGGCTCTGCGGTGCAGGTGCCCGCCGGAGCGCTCGGTGTCACCGGCCAGCTCTGAGCAGGTACATCCTGCTTCACATCACTGCCGCCGTGCCTCGGTAGCGCCGCGGTCCTGTGCTGCTCCCGTACGAGGAACGCAAGGCAAGAGCCACATAAATCTGCACACAGTTAACAGTCTCGCCTGCGCGGATGCTCACCACACAGCAGTTCCGAATCCATACTGCCACATGCTTTCTCCAAAAGCACAGGAGGAATTACAGTTCCCCAAACATCTCCAGGAAGGGAGAAAGACTCTATAGGTGGTACTTTAAACTGCAGGGCTGACAAAAAATTATCTTCCCTATTACAAAACCAAAATAATCACCTGGGTTTTTTTTGGTCTTACAGAAATTGCTAGTAAAGGATCCCAGACCAGGCTAGCAAAAGTTCAAGGAGGTAAAGAAGAATTAAGTCGGAAATATTTGATGAGCTCGTGGTGTCCTGAGAAACACAAAGAGTGATCTAGGAACAAAGGACAGGAAACAAGGGGACAGCCGTGCCACCTATGTGGCACTGCAGCGAGGCACAGTAGTGACACTGGAGCTGACGGGGCACCGGCAGTGGGTGGGAAAGGATCTGCAGCGTGACCCCGTCGGTTACAGAAAGGGAAAGAGATGGAAGAGCAGCTCACGCAGGTAACAAACCAGCACAGGCCACGGAGGGAGAACTGCTCTGTCATAACCACCCGTGCTGCCTTCTTCCCCCTTGCAAGGTGGGTGAGTGTGGGCATGCTGGGTCTGGGCAGGATGAGCAGGAACCGGGGGGCTTCTCCCCGTGTGACGACCCCAGGAGCGGGGGAAAGAGCCCAGCCTTGCGTCAGACATGTCTGGTGATGCTCTCCCCCTCCCCCGCTTCAGAAACGAAGCAGAGCTGTTAGGCTGGATAGGCGGCCCAGCACCGGGACTCTCCCTCCCGCTACCGGCAGCTGCTAGAGCAGCGGCGGCACAGGCTGGCGGAGCGCCGCGGGACCGGCACCGGGACAACCGCCTGGGAAGAACTGTGCGACCCTCCGGGAGCCGCCTGCCCCCCGCCTGCCGCCCGCCTGCCCCTCGCCTGTCCCCCGCCTGCCCCCCGCCTGCCCCCCGCCTGCCGCCCGCCTGCCCCCCGCCTGTCCCCCGCCTGCCCCCCGCCTGCCCCCCGCCTGTCCCCCGCCTGCCGCCCGCTTGTCCCCCGCCTGCCCCCCGCCTGCCCCCGCCTGCCCCCCGCCTGTCCCCCGCCTGTCCCCCGCCTGTCCCCCGCCTGCCCCCCGCCTGCCCCCCGCCTGCCGCCCGCTTGTCCCCCGCCTGTCCCCCGCCTGCCCCCCGCCTGTCCCCCGCCTGTCCCCCGCCTGCCCCCCGCCTGCCCCCCGCCTGCCGCCCGCGGTTAAACGGGCATCGCGAGCCGCTCGCCCCTTGCCCGGTTGCTCCGCGCCGACGCGCCCCGGGGCCGCCAGGGGGCGCCGCCCACCGCCCACCGGGGGCCGGGGGGGGGCGTCCCGCTCCGGTCAGCCCCGCGGGAACCGGGGAGCCCCAGCGCGGGAGCTGCTCCCGCAGCCGGCGCGTCCGGGCGGGCTGTGCCCCTCGGGCCGGGCAGAGCCCCGCAGCACGGCTGCCGCATTCCCGCCATCAATAATGCAAGAGCTCGGCACCGGCGGCGGCGGCGGCGGCGGGGCAGGCGGCGGGGGAGGCGGCGGCCTCGGGTTACAGCCCCGAGCCGAGGCCTGCGGGAGAGCCCCGGCGCGCCAGGCGCTGTCAGCCCCGACGGCAGGAGCGGCGTGAGCGGGCAGGGAATGGGGCTGGGGCTGGGGCTGGGGCTGGGGCTGGGACTGGGGCTGGGGCTGGGGCTGGGACTGGGGCTGGGGCTGGGGCCGGGGCTGGGGCTGGGGCTGGGGCTGGGGCTGGGGCTGGGGCTGGGACTGGGACTGGGGCTGGGACTGGGGCTGGGGCTGGGACTGGGACTGGGGCTGGGACTGGGGCTGGGGCTGGGACTGGGGCTGGGGCTGGGGCTGGGGCTGGGGCTGGGGATGGGGCTGGGGCTGGGGCTGGGGCTGGGCAGGCATCAGGCGCTGTGGCACAGCTCCGTCTCGGTGGTCCGTGGGACAGGAGGTCTTTGGGGCTGCCTCTGTCGTAGGAAGGTTTTGGGAGCCGCAGAGGGTGTGAGAGCGGCGGGGGGCTGGAGTCAGGCTGCGTGGGCAGCACACACCATGTGGGGCCTCGTCCGTCTCTCACTCGCTCCCACTGCCCGCAGGACGCCGCGATGGCTGCTTCCCTTCCCGGCGTTGTGATGCTGCTCCTGATGCTGCTGCGGGACCCCAGCTCCGGTGAGTGAGCACGACCCTCGGGGACCGCAGACCCCGCTGCGGTGGAACCATGCTCGGGGGTCTGTCCCGCTCTCTCGGCCCCTGCCCCACTGCGTGGGAGCGTGGCAAAGATCCCGCTCCCGCTGCGTGGGCTGCGCTGCGCACCTGAGGGTTGGGGGCTAGGCTGGTCCCCTGCAGTGGTCCAGCCACGGGGGAAGGGGGGATGTCCCACCAGCTCTGGAAATATGGGTGGTGGTTGAGGGTGGTGACATGCTGTGGAGCTCTGCAGAGAGCCGGAGGGGTCCCGGGGTTCAGGGGCTGCCTGTGGAGCCGTGCGGGAGGACGATGCTCGCAGGGCCCCCGCGGGACGCGAGGCCGGTCCCACAGGGCTGCAGGGACCCCCGAGGGGGCTGGCGGGGACCGTGCCGTGCGGCGTGGCGGCCACCGGGCCCTGCCCCGCAGGAGCTGTCTCGGGAGGGCGCGGCACCGCGCCCCGACACGTCGTGCCCGTCCTCCCGGCCCGGCCCGGCCCGCGACCGAGCGGCGCCGGCCCGGCTGTCCCGCAGGACGGAGCCCGGCGGCGCGGGGGGACACCGGCCCCTGGGCAGAGCCCGCTGGAGCGGCTGGAGGCGGCGGGGGCCCCGCCGGCGAGCAGGGCCGCCTCGACCCCGCGGGGCGCGGAGGAGCTCCCCGGCCTCCCGGGCTCCATCTCCCCGGGGCAGCCGGCGCCGGGCCACGCTCCTCGGCCTCCTCCGCGGGCTGCGGGGCCGGCCCGGGGCGGAGGAGCGGGGCGCGGGCCCCGGGCTGTGCCGGCCCCTCCGGAGCAGCGCGCCGGGGCTGCGGGACGCGGTGCTGCGGGCGGCGGCGCGGGCGCTGGGCGCCCTGCGCACCGGCAACGACGGGCGCTGCGCGGGTGGGCAGCGCCGCCGGACCCCGCTCCCGGTGCCCGGTGCCCGGTGCCCCGCCGCCTGACAGCCGCGCCCGCCCGCCCGGACTCTGCCGCAGCCGCTGCTCCGGTGAGTCGGGCCGCCGCCACGGCCGCGCCGCCCCCGGGGAGCCCGGTGCCCGCCCCGCGGGTCGCTACGGGCCGGGCCGGGAGGGGCACGGGGGCGGGCCGGGATGGGCCGGGCCGTGAACCGCGGTGGGTGCCCCGACGGGACGGGCAGTGAGCCGTACCGGGCGCACTGGTCACGGAGTGGAATGGGACGAGCGGCGTGGGCACCTGGGCCACAGGCAAGGGGTGTCTCCGGGGCAGGCAGGGCTGCAGCCCGTAACTGTGCTGGGGAGGGTGCGGGGGCTGTCCCGGCCAGCGCAGCTGCTGATCTGGTCTCTGCTCTCCAGGGGCTTCCACCACAACCTCAGCTGGGACGCCCGGGGCCTGGGTTTTGCGGCCGGGGTGCTCCCCGCTCTGCCGCCGCTCCCCGGCTGCCTCCAGCCTGTCCCCCGGGCAGCAGCCGCTGTGCCCCCAGGGCAGCCCTCGCTCCTAGCCCCCAGTCCTGGAGGCTGCCTGCAACGGCAGCGTCCCCGGGCTGCCGGGCGTCTCCAACTTCACGGTCTACCTCTACTGCAACCTCTTCAACAGCTCCCGGGGCTCCGGCCAGCTCCCGGGGGACCTGGGGGCTGCCTGCTTCAACTCAGCCTAGTACTTCCCTGCGGGCGAGGTGGGCTCAGCGTGGACCCACGCCTGCTGGGAGCACTACCCTGCCCAGTTCAACAGCCCTGTCTGCAGCAACACCTCCTTGAGAGAGACCCCCGGGCCGCAGCGGGTCCTGCTGGAGCAGCTCTGTGCCGACGTGGCCCCGGGCCCGGTGGGGGCCCGGCCCCCCCCGCCGCAGTGCCTGCCCACTGGGCGTGCGATGGGACGACGCCTGGAGCTGCTTCTTGGGAAGCTGCACCCTCCGGGGAGCCCGGCTCTGCAGCAGCAGGAGCCACAAGTTTCTGCCCACTGACCCCTGGGCCTGGCTCTCCCAGCTGTGTGATGGTCCTCAGCCCCAGCCACAGACACCCAGCACCTCAGATCCCCGGGGCACAGACCCCTGCTCCTTCAGGGGCCGGAGCCTGTGGGCAGAGGGGAGAACCAGGCTCTTGGAGCTGTGCAGGACTGTGTGTCCTGGCTGCTTCCAGGAGTTGGTGTGCACCAATGCCAGCCTCCTGCAGCTGCCAGGGGATTCCCAGCCTGTGGCCGGGGTGCGCTGCTAGGGTGCCCTGCCCGGGGGACGCTGCCTGCTGCAGCAGCCCCCGGAGCTCCTGCCCTTGCTCCCCAGGCTGGATGCTGCAGAACTCTGCCCGGACACAGCTGCCTACCTGCTGGGGCTGGTCTCACAGCTCCCACAGTGCCAGGAGGAGGGTCCAGGCTGGGCCCCCCCACATGAGCTACCTCCTGCGCCTGCTTGACTGCAGCCTGGCCCTCTCTGGATGGGAGGAGGCTGGGCAGGCAGCCAGGGAGCAGCTGAGCGAGGCCATCCTCCTCTCCATCCTCCTGGACAACACCTCCTTCTGGGGCTTGCTCGGGGCAAATGGGTCTGCAGGCATCCTGCGAGCCGTGGGCCGGTACCTGGGGTGGGAGCACAGGGCTTCAGCCAAGAGGGAGCTGCTGAGCTGCTTTAGCGTGAGTTGGACAGTGCTGGGGCGGTGAGCGAGGGCCTCCCTGGGTGCAGGGCAGTGGTTGGGGTGCCAGACCCAGGGAGCCCTCCCACCGGCTGCAGGGTCCGGCGAGGGCGTGGGCTCTAGTCCTGGGGCCCCTGTCCAGTGGCACCCGTGGTGAGAAAAGGATTGGTGCTCATGCTCTGCTCAGCCACTGGTGGCTGGGAACAGCCAGTCCTGGATTGGGGTGTCAGGGCTGTGGCTTGGGGCAAAGCCACCCCCTCCTTGCCCCTGGGCCAGCTTTGTTGCAGCAAGGCTGCCCCAGACGACCTGTGGGGCACTGGGCGAGGAGCTGCGGGGCGAGGTCTGGGCTGGGCTGGGGAGCACAGCCCTGCTCTCTCCTGCAGGCTGTGTTCTGGGACCTGCTCCAGGACAGCGAGGGTGTTCCCGCCTTGGAGATCCTGGTGCAGGTACTGCCCAGCCCAGCCAGGCTGCTCCCAAACCCACCCGGGATCCTGCGGAGCACAGTGCCCGCCTGCCCCCAGTGCTGGGCTCCCACCGCCGCTGTGCTGAGCTGTGGCTTCCCCGCAGGAGTATCTGCAGATGCCGGAGGAGAGCTTCCAGGGGCTGCTGCTCGCGGCGGGGCCCGAGGCTGTGAGGCGCTTCCTGGCCCTGCTGCACCGCTCCTGGCACCGGCTGCGCGGGGAGGGGGTGAGAGGGGCTGGGATGGGGCCCGTGGCGGGGGTTGCAGAGCCTGTGTGGTGGGGGGAAGTGCCCGTGTGTGGGGGGTGTGCAGCATGTGGGGGTATGGCCCACACACGGGGACAGAGCAAGTGCAGAGTCAGTGCTGGATGGAGATGAGTGCTCCCATGTGTGAGGGGCTGCAGAGCCCAGGCACAGGGGTGCAGAGCCCGTGCATGGGAGATGCTCTCCCAGGGCACAACTGGGCGGCGCTGGGCCCGTGCTGGCTGCTTGGGGCTGTGTCCTGCTGCAGCTGGGGCTCACGCAGCTTTGCAGATGCCGTCGCCCACGTCCAGGGAGGAGACGCTGCAGTCGCTGGCTGTGCTGCTGCTCCGCAGATTGCCCCGTCTCACCCCCGAGCTGTTTGTCAGCCTGTTGCAGTTCATCCCCTTCATGGCCGTGTCCGACATCGCGAGGCTCCCGCCGGCCCTCCTGGCCAACGAGAGCGTGTAAGCGGCGCTGGGTGCCTGGGCTGCCTGTGTGGGGTGGCCAGCTCCAGCCTGTGCCCTGCATTGCCATCGCTGGCAGACACCCCAGCCCAGCCCCGTGCTGCCGCGTCCCCTGCAGAGCCCCAGCCCAGGCAGGCCGTGCAATAGCCACGCAGAAGGCGTCTGAGTGCCCCCATGTCCTGGGCTCTGCAGGGCACGTGCTTGGTGATGGCCTCTGGGGTGCCCTTCGGGGTGGGTGCAGGCCTGGGGGGGTCTCTCCACAGCTGTGCCCTGGTGCTCTGTTCCCACAGCCTTGCCGCGCTGCAGACTCAGAGCTCCCGCCTGACACGGGGGCAGAAATCCGCCTTCGCCAGGTGCCTGCTGCAGGCCCCCTTCCTCGGGGCCGTGCTCACGTGGCCCCTTGGTTTCCTCCGTGACATCCTGCCACTGCTGCCCCACTTGCCGCTGCACTGCTTCCTGCAGTTCACGCCGCAGCAGGTGGGACGCAAGCCCCGGGGACCCCGGGCAGGCGGGGGTCCCAGCCCTACACCCTGTGAGCTGGCACCCCTGTGCCACTGGCCCTGCCCGCAGTGGGTGGGGGTCCCTGCACCCCAGAGCTGAGAATCCCACCCTACCCAACCCTTCACCCCGATCATTCACCCACCCACCCCGGGTGGGATCCTCAGCCCCACGCACTGAACCCACGGTCCGGGCTGGGAGCCCCAGTTCTGGTCAGGATCCCTGAGCCAAGTCTCGCCTCTGGCCTGTGCGGATCTGGGGGCTGGGGGACGACTGGCAGCCGTTGCAGCTGGGGCTGGTGCAGGGCTGCCACGTAGCCGGCAGCCTGGCAAACAGCAGCCGTGCAGCTGGCCCCAAGCCGGGGCGCAGGTGAGTGTGATGGGGGCTGCTGGTGCCGGCACAGCCGTGCCCCGAGCCGGGCTGGGGCAGGGCATCAGTCCTGCTGCGGCACAGGGCTGGGATGGCTGCCGTCAGGGCTGCCCATGCCTGCTAACAGGCTTTTTCTGTGCAGGCTGGGGTCCCTTGCCTGCTTCCTGAGCCCTGAGGAGCTACAGGACCTGGCATGGCTGCGAGACCCCTGGGCGGCAGTGGAGCAGAACCTGCTGGCATGTGGAGCTGCAGGGACCCTACGGCAGCACGGGCGGGTGAGCCAGCCCCCCAGGAGGGATGCGTGGGCTGTGCCAGACCATCCCATGGGCACCCCGCGGGCAGGCACCCTGCGGAGCTCAGCTCCTGCCCCCTTGCTCCCTGGGGGAGCCTGGCCACCATGTGCGGGCACGAGCAGGGGTGCCCGGGCAGCAGCTCCTGGTAAGGCAGCACATTGGGCCGGGCATCAGCACCAGATCCATTTTTGCCCTGGGCTCACGGCCTCTCCTGCTCCATGCCGGCAGGTCATGCTCTCCCTGGCAGACTTGCTGTGCTCCACCAGCCTGGCCACAGTGAGCCCCGGGGAGCTGCCAGCGTGGAGGGGCATCCTCCCTGAGATGGGAGTGGGCTTCCTGGGGCGCCTGTCAGCTGCCCAGCTGAACGCCCTCCTGCCCCATCTGCGGCTGACGCAGCTGACGTGAGTCCAGGTGAGTCCAGCCTGGCTGGGCTGGGGGTCCCAGGCTCAGGCCCCTGCCAGAGACCCCAGCGCAGTGCAGCCAGGCAGCCCCCGAGCCTCCCCCTGCCAGGGCCATGCTGGCCCCGCTGACCACCGCCACCGTGTCCTGCCCCCAGGCATCCCTCCTGCTCACACAGGCTGTCCAGAAGCACAACGTGAGTGTCTGAGCTGCCTCTGCAGGAAAAGGACAGGCTGCGGGTGCTGTGTCCCAGTGCCTGAATGCAGCCCTGGCTCTGGCCTCCCCCCCATCTGCCTGGGCTGCCACGGGGTCCCGCTGCGAGGTGCAGCCCCGGTGCAGCCCCGGTGCAGCACGGCTGCCCGAGCAAGGCCAGTGTGTTTCTCTGCCGGTGCCGGAGGGGGAAGCAGCCAGGCTGTGTCCCCTGCTGCCGGGCTTGGGGCCCACGTCGCTGGCAGCCGTCCTGGCCCCGCTCCGGGTCCAAGGCTGTGCGTGCCTGGGGCCAGCCCTACCCCTGCTCTCAGTGGCGCAGATGGCATCCCTGCCGCAGGCGCTGCAGCCCCGTGACGGCTGGCCCCACTGCCTGGTGCCCCTGCTGCCCCTCCAGCTCCTGCGTCCCACTGCTCAGGCTCTGTGGGGGGCTACGCGGGACCCGAACCTGCCCTGGTCCCCGCAGCAGGTCAGAGGCCGGGCACAGAGCTGTGGGGGAAGGTGCTGCACCCCCGTGCCTCCCACCACTGCCCCCCCAACAGGCCCAGCTCCTCTGGAGGGAGGTGGGAGCCGGCACTAACCGCAGCCACCGCACTGCTGGGTGAAAGCCTTGGCAGGATCCTGGGCAGGGTGGAGTGGGTCTCCGTGGGGCTGGGGGTGGTGAAGCCCCAGAGGGTCTGACGCCTCTGTCCTGCAGTGCCCTGGGCTCGCTGGTGGTGGGCATGAGCTGTGCCGCGCTGCAGGAACTAGGCTGGGAGGATTTCCTGGGGGCTCTCCGGACCCTCTGTGTGGAGCCTCGTTCCTTGCTGCCCAGCCTGGTAAGGAGGAGGCACCACGACACCCATGGCTTGCGGGGAACCCCTCCCTCTCCTGCACTCGTAGCAGGATGTCCCCAGAGGCGCTGTGTGCAGGAGGAGGTGCTCAGGCGCCCTGCGCTCTCCGAGGAGGCGCTGGCACGGCTGGGACCTCTGTTCCTCATGGAGTTACCGTAGGTGTTGGGAGCAGCTGGCCCTGGGATGCGGGGACATGGGGCCACCCCTTCTGCTCCCACTGCCCCCTTTCCCTGTGGGGGGAAAGCACTGCCTGCTGACCTACAGCCCCTCTCCTGGGGCCCGTCACCCTCACTGTGTCTCCAAGGAGCCAGAGAGCCCCAAGCGTGGAGCAGGATTGGGTGGCAGGAGCCTTTAGCAGGCACCGCTGCCCTCCTGGCACCCCCAGCCCTGGGTCCCAGCCGTCCCTGGGGGCAGCCCTGGTGCCAGCCCCTGCCTGGTGCCTGGGCACCCATGAGGAGAGAGGGGGTCGGCAGGATGGGGCCCAGTGCTCCGTTCATCCCAGGGCAGGGCAGCCCCTCACCCTGCAGTGCCCGGCTGTGCTCTGGCTCCCGCAGGGCTAAGCTGGTGGAGATGCTGCCTGATGCCATGATGCGGCTGGTTCTGGACCACACGACCCGCCAGCCACGCAGCCTGCTAGCCCTGCCGGCCACCCGCCGGGCAGTCTTGGCCCGTGGGGCCCTGCGCTCCCTGGTAAGGGCAGGGAGCCCAGCAAGCCGCCCGCCCTCACACTGCTCTGCCTGCTGCAGTGGCTCCTGGCAGGGACAGAGCTGACTGGGGAGGATCTGGACCGGCTGGGCCCACTGGTGGGGTTCCTGGGCAGGGAAAGCACAGCTCGTGTCCGGCCCGAGAGCCTGCTGCCACGGCTGGGCGACCTGCAGGATACTTGCCTGGCTGCAGAGGCAGCCGCCGAGCTGGGGCGGCTGCTGCTGTCAGAGCGGGCGCTGGGGTAGGTGGTGGGCAGGGGGGGGCACAGGGTCCTGCCAGCACTGCCTTGACGCCCACTCCCACAGCCCCCCCCCCGGCTGGCGCCCGCCCACCCTGCAGCAGTTGGGGTGCCTGGTCTTCCTGCTGCCCCTCGAGAGCCTGCGCAACATCCCCGGGTGAGCACCGCGTCCTGTCCCGCTGCCGCCACACTGCCCTGTGGCCAGCAACACCCCGGCCCCTCTGCCCCGTCCTGGAGCTGTGCCATCCCCACCAGTGCCCCGTCCTGGAGCTGTGCCATCCCCACCAGTGCCCTGTCCTCGTGGCTGTGCCATCCCCACCAGTGCCCCGTCCTGGAGCTGTGCCATCCCCACCAGTGCCCTGTCCTCGTGGCTGTGCCATCCCCACCAGTGCCCATCCTGGAGCTGTGCCATCCCCACCAGTGCCCCATCCTTGAGCTGTGCCATCCCCACCAGTGCCCTGTCCTGGAGCTGTGCCATCCCCACCAGTGCCCCATCCTTGAGCTGTGCCATCCCCACCAGTGCCCTGTCCTCGTGGCTGTGCCATCCCCACCAGTGCCCATCCTGGAGCTGTGCCATCCCCACCAGTGCCCCGTCCTGGAGCTGTGCCCCACTGGTGACAGGGGCTGGGCCAGGGGACCACGGTGAGCCCCTGCACTGCCCTCCCCAGCCCTGACCCCAGCCCTGCAGCTCTTGTCCCCGGTGCCCTCCCATGCCCTGCCCACACGCTTTCTGTCCCCGCTGCCTGGTGTCCCCATGCTGTCCCCCCCCGGCTGGTGTGTCCCCCTCGTGCACCCCACTGCGGGCGCTGTGGGGGGACGTGGGGCTGTGGGCAGCCCGCTCAGGCCGGCACTGCAGCCGCCGTGCCCAGCTGTGCCGCCGTGCGTGCCACCTTCCCTGTGGCGTGGAGCATGGCCCAGCTGGCCGCCATGGCCCCCCCGCAGCTGGGGGGCTGCCTGGGGCTGCTCAGCCAGGACCCAGCGCTGCACCCCGACCAGCTCCGGGCTGCCCTGGGCCAGGCCCACCGGGTGAGGGGGGGCATGGACAGGGCTGGGGAGGGGCACGGGGGGCTGTGCTGGGGGGGGTGCTGGGGCTCTGCTGAGCTGTGCTGGTCCTGGGGCGGAGGTGCTGGATGTGGGGAGCTGTGGTGGCATGGGGGCGGGAATGTCCCGGGGGGGCTTTGGTGGCCTTGGGAGGCTGCCTGTGGGGGGCTGTGCTGGCCCTGGGGAGCTGTTCCTTGGGGGGCTGTGCTGGCATTGGGGGGCTGTGCTGGCCTTGGGGGGCTGCCTGTGGGGGCTGTGCTGGCCCTGGGGAGCTGTTCCTTGGGGGGCTGTGCTGGCCTTGGGGGGCTGTGCTGGTCCTGGGGAGCTGTTCCTTGGGGGGCTGTGCTGGCATTGGGGGGCTGTGCTGGCCTTGGGGGGCTGCCTGTGGGGGCTGTGCTGGCCCTGGGGAGCTGTTCCTTGGGGGGCTGTGCTGGCCTTGGGGGGCTGCCTGTGGGGGCTGTGCTGGCCCTGGGGAGGTGTTCCTTGGGGGGCTGTGCTGGCCTTGGGGGGCTGTGCTGGTCCTGGGGAGCTGTTCCTTGGGGGGCTGTGCTGGCGTTGGGGGGCTGCCTGTGGGGGCTGTGCTGGCCCTGGGGAGCTGTTCCTTGGGGGGCTGTGCTGGCCTTGGGGGGGCTGCCTATGGGGGGCTGTGCTGGCCCTGGGGAGGTGTTCCTTGGGGGGCTGTGCTGGCCTTGGGGGGCTGTGCTGGCCTTGGGGGGCTGCCTATGGGGGGCTGTGCTGGCCCTGGGGAGGTGTTCCTTGGGGGGCTGTGCTGGCCTTGGGCGGGGTGCCTGTTGGGGGCTGTGCTGGCCCTGGGGGGCTGCCTATGGGGGGCTGTGCTGGCGCTGCTGGCAGCACTGGGCTGGGGGCTGCTGGCAGCTGGTGGTGCTGCTGGTGCCGCAGCTGTGGGGCAGTGCCCGGGCACTGGAGCCAGCCCAGACCCTGCGCCTGGGCCGGCTGGCCACCCAGCTGGGTGAGCTAGAGCTGCGGGAGCTGCTGCTCCCCGACTGGGGGGCCCTCTCTGCCCTGGGGGAGCTGGACGACTGGTCACCGGAGCAGGGGAGGCCCTGGGAGCCAGGGCGGGTGGGTGGGAAGCAGCTGGCCCCCATGACGGGCGCTCCCCCAGATGCGGGCGGTGGTCTCTGCCTTCGTGCGGCAGCGTGGGGTGAGTGCCCGGGACCTGGGGCTCCCTGAGCTGGTGGCACTGGGACATCTGCTCTGCGGGCTGCCGGCGGCCGAGCTGGGGGGCCTGGACAGCCGGGAGCTCAGGTGGGTGTGCACGGGCAGAGCCCCCGCTCGGGGACCACCCCGCTGCCTTGGCACGGACGGCAGTGCTGCACCGCAGCGCTCTGCCGCCCGACGCTGCCTGCCCCGCACAGCAAAGCTGCCCCTTTCCCGGGCTGGCTGAGCCTGCGCGGCACGGAGCAGCAGGCAGAGGAGCTGGCTGCCTGCCTGACCTCCAGCGCTGCCTTCGGCCCGGCTGCCGCCTGGGGACCCGAAATCTTCGCGGAGGTTGGGACGCTGGCAGGTGAGGTCTGGGACCGGGCCATGCCCTGCGGTCACTGCCGCCTGCTCTGGTGGTCCCTGTGCCCGGGGACAGCACCCCGGCCCTGCGCTGTGCCCCGGCTGGGCTCCCTGACATCGTCCTCTCTGCACTGGTCCCCGAGCAGCTCTGGGCGCTCATGCCCCGGGCCATCACTGCTGTCCCACCACCCAAATTCGCAGTGAGTTCCCGGCAGCTCCCGCTGGCACGCTCGGCCAGGGCACGTGTGGCACCGTCCCCCCGCATTCAGGGGAGGGGGGATCCCTGGCCAGGCCAGTGCGGTGGGAGTCCCCCCCTCACCGGGTGCCGAGGCATGGAGGTGGAACCCATCCTGGCCGTGCACACGTGTGTGTACAGGTGTGTGCACCGTGTGGGCTCCTGGCAGCAGAGGGGATGGGAGCCCCTCCGCAGAGGGCCAGGGCTCAGCTCTGATGGTGCTTTCTCTCCTGCAGGCAGGAGCGGAGCCAGGCCCCAGTCTGGCTTCACCTTGGCTCTCCTTCTCTGCCTGCCCCGTTGCTTTCTGTGAGCATCCCAGTAATAAACTTGTGACGGGCACAAGCAACAAGTTCTGCTCCCTGCCTGCCTGCGGTGACGCACAGCCCCAGAGCACCTTTCCCTGACTGGTTTGACTGTCCTAGCAGCTGCTGGCACTCTGCAGCAAGGTGCCCCCCAGCCTCAGCTCCCTACCCACACACAGTCCCTTGCAGCCCCCTGGACCAGGACAGCCCCAGTGGCCCCCCAGGTGCTTTCCCCAGGGCAGAAATGTCTCAGGGAAATCCTGGGGAGGGCTGCTCAGGGCAGGCACAGGAAACCCAGACCCGGATGGGTGCCTCTGCAGGGGCACAGGGTGCTGGGGAGATCAGCGGGGTGGTGGGTGCTGGGGTAAGGAGGAGACCGAGCCACAGCTACAGCAGCACACGTTTATGGGGTCTGGCCTGGCGCGTTGCGGGTGACAGGACACAGCGACATGCTGGGCACAGAGATCACGTTAAGCTATGGGGGGAACTGGGTCCCACAGGGCTGGTGCTACCTTGGTCCAGCTCAGTGCCGGAACTGTGGCACCGGGGAGGGGATGCGGATGTCCTGCCCCTTCTCCAGCCGCCGCTCACAGTCAATCAGGTAGTTCACACCATCTATCACCAGCTGCACCAGCTCCACCTGCACCAGGAGCACACGTGTCCTGACTCGGGGGCTGTCCTGGGAGCCACACCAGCAGAGCACCCGGCCGGCCCCACCGTCCAAAGGGCAGGCGCTGCCACCCCCAGCACCCACGTTCTGGCCCCAGCACACGGCACCGGTGCTCTTTGGGTGCCGCAAGCCTGTCATGCACACGGACTCCAGAACCTCCCTCCCCAAAAGCAGCTCTGCCCAGCACCCACCTCTGACTTCCCCAGCCGGTCCAGGTTGGAGATGTCGAAGATGTTGCCAGTGGCTGCAGTGTCCACACCGCCCGTCCCACGCTTCTGTAGCCGGAGGTTCTCCAGGATCTTAGGGAAGCGGCTGTCCTGGTGCCCAGAGAAGGTGTCAGTGCTCAGCAGGACCATCAAGGGAGCTGGGGCTCTGCAGCCGACGGCTCCCAGGGGCAGCCCTCCTGCTGCTCACAGGACCCCGTCAGCAGGCTCACAATCTCCACAGGGAGCTCTGCCCTGAGCAGACCCATGTTGACACCCGAGTCCCCGGTCCCTCCAGCCATGGATGCAGGTGGGGGCTGGACCATACGCTTCGTGGGGGAACCTGAGCAAGGTCCTGGGCCGGGTCCCACACAGTCCTGCACCTCCTGTGAGGCTGGGCTCCCTGCGCCCTGGCAGCCGGGGCTCCCTGCAGCCCTGGCCTGACACCCCACGAAACTGTCCGTGGTAATACCTTGCTGAGCAGCGGCAGCTTGATGTGGACGCCTGCTCGCAGCCCAGTGCCCAGGTTGGAGGGGCAGGTCAGGATGTAACCCAGACGCTCGTTCCACATGAACTCCCAGCCTCGCTCCTGGATTAGCCGCTCCACCTGGGCGAGAGGCACAAGCAGCCGTTCAGCCCCCAGTGCCGGGGTGCCCAGCCCTGGGCACACAGCACCCCCGGCCCCGGCCAAGGGCAGAGGCTGGCCCCACCGCAGCGCTGCATGCCCCTGTCTGTCTGTCTGCCTGTCCATGGGGCTGGCGGGCGCTCACCTCCTTCAAGCCCCGACAGAACCGCTCGAAGACGCGCTTCATGTTGCCTCCCTTCTCCATGGAGATGATGCGTGTGTGGTCCTCCTCATTGATCCAGATCAGGAAAGTCTTCTCGTTGTTGTGCCTAGGGACAGGACAGCGTCTGGCTGTGCTGGCGGCCGGCACAGGCCTCGTGCCCACCCAGCCACCCGTGCCAGCCCCGGTTGTGCCCCCTCTGCCCCTGTGACCGTGCTCTGCCTGCACCCGTGGCTGGGAGCGCGTTGCCCGTGCACAATTCAGCAGCAAAGCAGCCAGCCAGGAGATGCTCCTGGAGATGGGCCAGCGTTCATCCACGCGTGCCGCTGCAGGCGATGGGTGCTGGCTCCGGCGCTGTGGGTGCAGGTGAGTGCTGCTGGGGAGGAGCAGCGTGACGGCAGCCCTGCCTGGACTGGGGACAGGAGCACGGCTCCTGCACCATGCAGGCAGTGGGAGGGGGCTGTGAGGCGTGGGGTGCACACTGGGGTGCTGGGTGGGGAGGTCAGCTGGAGCTGGGGACCACGTGTGCTGTGGGGGTGTTTTCCGTGAGGCTGCTATAAAGGCGCTGTGCCAGCGAGGGTGGCGTGGGTGAGTGCGTGTGCGCCGGCTGTCACTCTGCGGGTGCGTGGGATGCTGTGTGGAATGTTGCAGGGCTGTGCAGAGATGCTGGGAGGGAGCGTAAGATGCAGTTCGTGGCAGGGTGAGTTTGGGGGCAGGTAGAGTGTGCAGAGAGCCGGGAGGAGCGCTGGGGATTGCCCGAGGAGCAGAAGGCAGTTACAGGTTTTTGGCAGCCTAGAGTGCAAAGTGCTGCAGGATGGTGAGAGTGGGCAGGATCGACAGAAGGTGCTGGCTCCAAAGTCCCACCTCTTAGGACACTGTGGCCTGTGTGTGGAGCGGTTGGCTGCTGACTGCAGAGCACAAGGGGCTCCCGGGTCAGGCCACAGAGCCCGGGGTGAGCACGACCCAGGGGCACGGATGCTGTGTGCGCTGGGGTCTGCGGTGTGGCGAGCATGGGGAACGCGGCAGCATCCCCCCACTTTCTGCCCTGCTGACTGCCTGATGCCAGGGCAGATCCTCACCAGATCCCTCGGGCGTCGGGCCAGTCCCGGGCCATTCCTGCTGCCGTCAGGAGCGGGGACACCGGCTTGTCAAAGAGGAAGTGGTCCTGGAGGGAGGCAGAGTGTGGGCTCACCAGGGCTGCATGGCTGGTGCCAGGGCACCCTGTCTCCCTGGTCCCCGCCTGCCACGCAGGGGATGCACTGCAGCCATCTCAGGCAGGGCAAGTTCACTTGCTGTCCCCACTGGTGGGCAGGAGACCCTGCCTTCCCGGCCAGGGAGGCAGGAGGCTGCTGGTGCACACCCCACCCCGTGCCAGCGGCTGGTGGGGAACCAGCCATGTGCCACGAGCCCGGCATCCTCTGGGCACAGGTAGGGACATGGGGCGAGAGTGGAGGGAGCCGTGAGCTGCTGGGGCTGTGTTCAGCAAGCTCCATCCTCCCCTGGATCGGGAGGGCTGTGCAGCACAGTGAGCACCCTCTGCACCATGGGGAAGCCTTGCTGGGAAGGGGGGTCCTGGTCCCACAGGGCAGCGGGGCTGGGAAAGGAGGATACGGCCTCCAGGAGATGCAATGCTGGGGAAGGGGTCCTGCTCCGCGGGCACCTGGGGTGGGTGGCTGGGCGCTGCACCGACTCACATCAATGAGCTGCTGTTGCTCCTTCTCCGTCATCTCGCTGAGACGGTAGTACCGGCCCACCAGGTCTCCGCTGAGGCCGTTCAGGGCCTCCACGGTCACCTTCTCCACCTCTCGCCGCTCGGCGCGGGTGCAGGCTGGTGGCAGGCTCAGCCCGCGGATGCTGCGCCCAGTCCGGACCCGGGATGAGAGCACATAGCGCTCATCGAAGTGGCCAAACTTTATCTGGAACAGACAGGAGCCGTGGGGCGCTTACGGGATGGCACTGGCGCTGGCAGGGACCCTGTCCCCAGAGGCCTGGGGAAGGACCCCCACGCACAGCACCTCTGCCCGGCTTGTGCACCTTGGTGGCATCCAGGTCTGTGATGTGCTTCATGGTGCGGGGGTTGTATCCGTTGTGCCGATCCTGAATCACAGGGTCAAACAACTCAGCAAACACCTGAAAGCAAATGGGACAATGTACAGCATCGCAGACCCAGCGCCCCGTGAAGCCCCAGCCACGAGCTTGGCACAAGTCCTGCTGCCAGCGGGGGGGACGTGGCAGCGGGGGGGCCGCAGGGGGTGGCTGGGGCCACAGTGCGTCCTGCAATGCAAGAGCAATCCATGGGGCTGACGCTGCCCGGGCAAGTGGGGCTCAGGGGCGAGGAGGAGGTTGCAGGTCTCTGGGAACAGCCGTTCTGAAGGGGCCCTGCGTCCCACAGGGACATGCTGGGGCTGGCCAAGGGGCCTCTCCAGCTGCCTGGGCTGGCAGAAACTTCCCAGTCTGCTGGACGTACTGCAGGTACCAGGGCTCCTCTGGCTGCTGCAGGCTCCCTGGGGAGCCTGGAGCATGGCAGGGCTCCAGTCGCCACTCACCTCATAGGTTTCTTCATCACCAGCTACCATGCCCACAGTCTTGATGAAGGGGTGGCCAGGGTTGTCAACACCTGTCTGGATGCACTGGTCCAACGTCCAGCCATTTGGGGTTGCTTTGTCACAGAGCCTGGCATAGATGGCTGGCGTCAGGTTGCTGGCCATGCAGTTGTTGTGCTTCCGCAGGTCGGGGTACTCGGCGCTGTGGGAGGAGAGACCGATGAGTCCTTTGGGACCAGGGACCCCAGCGCTCGTGCCCTGGCCCCACAGGGACCCTCGGGACAGGTGTGGTCAGGGGAGTGCTGGGGAGGGAGGTCAACCTGCTCTGCTTATCCACACCAGCAAAGGTCAGCGGGGAGCGGGAAGGCAGTTATGGGCATTGCACAGCGAGGGCAGAGAGCAGCCCATGGCGAGGGCTGACATTGCCGCAAGGACAAGAGTACACGAGGAAATCTGGACCGGTTGTTAGGGTGCGGCTCCTTATCAGCTGCGTACCAGGGCCCCAGGGTTAGGAGAGCTTGCCAGGCAAGCAGCAGCGGCCACGTCAGCCCCAGCGCCGCACTGGGACGTGGGTGGCTGGTAGGAGCCTGTGCGCTGAGCTGCCGGGGCAGCCGGGCTGCAGAGCGGGGGTCTCGCTCCCCTTCTCCTCCCTGGGGCTGCCCTGATGCCAGCCCACATGGAGGGTGGCTGTTCCCACTGCTCCTGCTGCCCTGTACTGGGGTCTGTCCGTGCAGCGAGTGCGGGAGGCAGGGCGTGCAGCTCCCGGACCCCAGGGGGTGCCCCCGTCCCCCCCGTCCCTCCGCCTCCTGCATGCTGCGGGGCAGGAGATC